ATGTATTGTTTTTACCTATTTTTTTAAAAAAATAGTAAAATGTATACGTGTATTTGATACGCCAAAATCACCCTAAAATGCACGAATTATCCGCAGCTTGCGCTAGTATCGCTTTTGCTTCCCCTACCATGACTTCGCACTGAGTGAATAAGAATGCGAAAAAGGTCAAATTTAAATACCTTTTAAATGTACCAACTCGGCCCATGGGATTACATTGGCAGGTGTAAATTTTAAATAAAAAACATTTTTAATAGGTGCAATAAATAAACAATTCCCATTTATTATATTTTATAAATATATTTTTATACATACATGCAATAAAAACAGAATAAAAATGATTATAATAAATATGAAGTTGTAATAATGCGAGGGGTAAAAATACATAATATTATGTGCTCAAGAATACCTAATAAAGAATACCTGGGAATACCTAGAGAATACCTGGGAATACTTAGAGAATACCTAGAGAATACCTGGGAATACCTAGAGAATACCTGGGAATATCTGAAATTTTCCGGGAATACCTGGGAATATCTGAAATTTTCCGGGAATACCTAAAGAATACATGGGAATACCTAGAAAACACTTAATATTGAGAGAATACTTGAAGAATATCTGAGAATAACCAAGAAATTTTTAAGGTTAAGAGTTAGTAAATTAGGTCCTTAAAGTATTAGGCAAATCCAGATTTCTTAACTCTATGATTAGTATTTTTTACCCACAATTAAGTTTATTTTTAACTTCTAAATAATAAAGAATAAATTTCAATTCTTAACATTTCACTTAATATTTGACAAATTGATGCACGTATAAACGTCAAAACTAAATAAACTTATTTGTTTTTTTTTTGTAACATGTACCTATAGTAATGTGTGCAGCAAGAGTGGATATGGACAATCCACTCGAGTTGTACAGTCTATTTTTTCTACGACCCACTACTGAAAATCTACAAATATTAAAAATTATTTTAGGTTATTAAGATAAAATAAATAGTTTAAAAATAATTTATGACTTTTGTTAATTTATAAAATAAAAAAAAATAAAAAATTTCATTTCACTTTTCCCAATCCTAGATTTGAACTCGAGTCTTCCGTCTGAAAGTCAAGAACGCTGACCACCAGACCATCTATGCGCTTAATTTTTTTGCTTTAATACTCGTAATTAAATTGACTTATAGTTTTATTTAAATGAATAAAGTATTTATAATTATAGACGAAATAAAAATAGAAATGCTATTATTTATCGATTCTACACAAGAATAACTCATTTTAATGTATATTTAATCTCAATAACTAAAAAATATACTTACAATTAGTTTGACAGAATTATCACTTATTTAAAAATTTAATAGTAATAATAGTTGGGTGTCCAAATTATTAACTATACAATACATGACTTGTTCTGATAATAATTTTTCTATGATATAATGTCATATATCTCCGACATGCCTCTATAAATAGTACGACATAGTTCAGTTTACATCCCAGGTACTGTTATCGGTAAATATATAATTAAGTCTTCATGATATAGGTACATACTTAACATAGACCCAACTATTTAGTTTCTTGAATTAATTTAGTCAAGTGCAATATTTATTTTTTATATCGTCTTTAAAAAAAACTGTAATGTAAGTTTAGCTTCCATTTTTTTTGTAAATTCATGCGGCACCATCATTCGAGTTAAATCCTCACCGCTACAACAGTCTGACGCTGTTTATTAGAACCTCTAGCATATTTATAGATAGGATATATTTCTATAACTTCAAGTTCATTAGGGACAACCTACAAAATAAAACAATTATTCATACAAAATTGTACTAGGGTCACATGACTATTTTGTAGAAACTGGAATAAAAATTGACACACATACTTCCGTTTTATGAAATTCGCAGTTTTATTTAAACACTGTTTTTAAATAAACAATTAAAATTGACTTATGTTGAATTTTAGAGTTTGACAGCTTGATTGAAAACATCAAGATAAAATAATGTAGAGAGGAAATAAACACTATTTTGCGATATGATAAATGAACGCATTTTGAGTCGTATTTTGATTAATTTGTCGTTAATAATTTTATATTTAAAGATTGGCTAAATGAAAATGTTTTTATATCACTTAAGTCATGCTATTTAAAAAAAATGGTATTTATACTCACTAAAACTGACTAACTCCACTTGCTCGAGTTTGAGATATGACGTAAAACTGTGCGGACACTTTTAGTATTATAGCATCTCCTCTTTATTTTATATCAATGATTGGAAAGTTCGTATGCCCCGCCCTACTTTGTGACGTCACTGTCTGCGTTGCGCAAATTAAGCTGATTAAGTGATTTTATAATTGTTTCACTACGTTTCAGGGATCTGTTTACGTGCGACATATCTTTTTATCTAAAGACTTTCAAGAACGCTTCTCACTCCTTCGGGCTCACTTATAAAAGAGTGCTACGGAAGCACGATTAGCCAGATCGCAGTGGCGTACCCAAAAATAGATATTAACACGTATGAAAATAAAATTATTAAAATTGAAATAATATTTTTGTTATTTATTTTCTGGGTGTTCACTGCACAAATGAACCAATGGAGAAACCGCCCCTGCTTAAAACGTTATCAAAAATTATTGATGGTAAAACTTCAAATAATAATTAGATTCTTAAACAAATTTTTTGTTTTTGTTTCGCAAAAGACTTTTTTGGTTGTCTCTGCTACTTTTCTTTTAGTAGTTTCGAGGAGAATTTCACTATGGAAAAGGAGAACCATCAATTGGTTGGTAACATTTTAATATTTTGGGCCTTGTTAAACTTTCTAAAGTAATTTCGAGAAAATCAACTTTTAATGTCATCATTGTACTTAATTTTTTTATTGCTTAAATTATTAATAATGTCATTTGGTGTAGTTCGTTGTGATTTCTATAATATATATTATAAAAACCTATCGTTAATGTTATTAGGTGCCGACTTTTTTTAATAATTATTTTGTAAGATGTCCTTGTTCTAGTAAAAACACATTTAAACACTTTTTTTTTGTTTATTTCTGCTTTAAGTTATCGTATAATTGAATTGACTAATTGTGTGTTTAATTAAAGCTATATCTCTTTTTTGTTAAAACAGTCTTTGTATTGTTCTATACTTTTTAGATAATTAGAGAAAACAGTAGGACATTTTAAAATATCCTATTTCACCAAAAATGTAGAATAATGAATCCCACATCAAACGGAAAAAGATATTTTAAGATGTCCTGCTAGATATTAACTTAAAAACTAATTAAAATGTATAATGCAACTGTAATCAAATAAATGAATGTTTTTATCCTGACTATAGCATCAGAAAGACATTTTTTTAGATCATAATGATTGGATAGCTCAAAATAGTCAAAGTCCACATTATTTAAGTTGTTCTAGTATTGTTTTAGCATAGCGATATAAACTCCAATAATAAACATTCAATGTTTTTTGGGACGTTTTTTAGTAATAAAAAAAAATGAATAATGTGATATTTTTGTTTAGTTTGGTACTACATAGTATAGTTCATTAGTGATTTACAAGCAAATTACGTTCTATGTATAGAATAAAAAAATCACTCATAATATCTAAATATTTATACCTATATCTCTATATTTCGGGCACGAAGTCTAACTAACTATTTTATGTTTTTGGATCTAAATAGTTTTCTTAAGAATTTTAAAACCTTTCTTTGTTCATTTGGGATACTCCATGCATATCTTTGAGGTTAATTTTGTTTAAACCTAAAATTAAGTACATAATATGACAATTTAAACAATATACAAAATTAGTCGATTAAATTACAGATTTTAAAAAAAATTGTCAACAAAAAGTGGCATTGTCTTTTTCCTTAAACATTCTTTTTGAAAGTTTCTCTGCTTCACTTGCTGTTTTAGTATTTTAGTGGCAGATGAATATGGTGAAGAAGTAGTGACAGGATTGATTATTATACTTCTCTCGTCGAAATTTACTGAAATTGTATTTTTTTTCAATATTTTCCTCCCCTGAGGTCTGTAATTAAAATATTCATTAGCATAAAAAGTTATTCAGATGGTCACTTGTTGAATTCCTAAATTTTGGAACCATCTAATTTGTTTTTATAAGTAATTAACCTTTACTATAATCATTATGAGACGGATGTAGACGAACTTAGCTGGGGTTTATTTCCTCTTAATTATACTTTTTCGATAAGAAAATAAGAAAGTTTAATTGCAAATTAAAGGTGATTGCTTAATGCACCGCCTATGATAATTAGGTTGTGTTTGTACTTTATGATATAATCTTGAAGAAGCATTTTCAAAAGGTCTTTTACACATAAAGCATGTTTTCACCATATTATTAGAGATAATAAATCTAAAATATACATTTACAACCTTTACAATTATAAATAAATCTATTTTTCGTAAAATACAAATTAAAAATTGACATAAACTGGCGCTGTCAAACTTGGCAACGCTGATTAAATAAGCCCATTACAGGAGAGGGATTTCCCCGCCTGGGGGAAGTAAATGTTGGTTACAAAATTTAGCGCGGGGAAGGGGGGAAGACTCTCTCTAGTAGTAATTGCTCGGAACTTGTAAACAACTAGATTAAAATGTCAGACAAAAATGTTACACACATATATCATCGTCTACTAAGTAGGCTCAGCGGAAAGAGAGAAGACCTTGTATTATAAAAAAAATAATAATTTACCCCTCGTGCAATACTTGAATGAAATGGATTAATCAATCCCAATAAAACAACCTTACACTGATGCCACATATTAAAATAGAGACAAAACATTTTAAAGTTTAAATACTTGACTTTCTTTTTCATTTTTATCTACCTAGTGATTATGTTTATTTGCAAGTATGTTTCTTTTGTCATATATTTTCAATATTTTTTTTTTAATTTCTCGTGCTAAGAACTCATTTTAAATTTTGTAAATCCCGAGATATATTACATAACATCATTTATTAAAATGTTTTATTCAAAGTGACGCGTTAGTGTATTTACCGATCGAACATGTTTAAAAAATCCAATAAACATTCGGAAAGTTACCTAACTAAGGATCCATCGATGGCGAGAAAGGATTTTTTTACCAGCAATGGTAAATTGGTTGCCAGACCTCTGACGTGGTCTTCTTTCAATGGACCAGTTGATTTATCGGTGCGGATAGGAGGGAAGACTATTAATAGAATTTCGACGAAAGTAAGTTTTTAAAACCAAAAACATTCATTTAAAAAAATACCGTTGGTTATCTTGATCTTGATTATTGAGAGGTTAATTCCACAGATATCTAAATAACACCGAAAAAATTAAAGGGGTGATTCTGTGATAACAATTAATGTGAGTGTTTGGTATAACATTTTTTGAAAAAACCCTCCCCGGAAAAGTTACTTCGAAAATTAAAAAAAAAAATGGTTTTTCTTTTTTATTTTCCCTGTATATCAAGCTAAAGACACGAAACTTGGTAAACATTATCTGTCAATAAAAGTACACTTTTTGAAATTTTTTCAAACCTGAAGTATGCTTAGAAGGGGTTGAAATAATCAACCCCTAAGATATTTTTTCTTACAACTTTTTTTTAGATGAAAATTTTTTCTTTAAAAAAGTATGACTGAAAAGCCCAATTCATTGACTAACTTTTTTATCTCTACAAGTTTTTTTCGAAAACTTAAGCATTTATGAGAAAAAAATAAATAAGCTCATGTAAAATAGCATTTTATTAAACAACAGCCAACCAAATTATGATTCTTAAGACTTCTACAACTAAAAACAAAAGTGAACAGACAATGAATAAAAACCTGTCGAATATCGACAATACAATTATAATAAATGTTGAAAATGACCGCCTTCAGCTTCAATACAAGCATCTACCCTTTTCCTCATAGAATTGCGTATACGATGAAATATTCCTGGAGAATTTCTTATAGTTTCACACCCTGCTACAATGCGGTTTTGCAGATCATCGATATTTTCAACTGGGTTTGTGTATATCAAAGATTTCAGATATCCCCTTATGCAAAAATCCAAAGGATTAAGGTCAGGGGAGCGGGCTGGCCAGTTTACAGGTCCTCCTCGACCTATCCATTGATTGGCATACACCTCATCCAGGTGAGTTCTTGCACGTATACTAAAATGTTGCCTAATTTTGAATGGGAACCTCTTCAAGAAGAACAGGTAATTCTTCAAGGAGATGACAATATGCTTCACCATTTAATCGTAGCGGAAGAAAATGGGGACCAATTAAATGATTATCAATAATTCCGAGCCACACGTTTAATGAAAATTGATACTGATGATTTCCTTCAAAAAAGCCATGAGGATTTTCGTCAGCCCAAAGGTGATTGTTGTGAAAATTTCTAATACAGTCTCTTGAGAAACTCGCCTCGTCAGTAAATAAAATATCCTAAGAACTGTGGTGCTTGGCCAATCATATTAATAAGCCACTGAGAAAAAATCACACGGGGTAAAAAATCTCGAATCATTAACGCCTGCACCCGTTGAAGATGATAGGGATACATTTGTTCTTTTAAAATTCTAAAAACAACGGAATGGCTTACTTGTAGGACACGAGCTATTCTCCTGGTACTAGTTTCTGGGAATTCTTCAATTGAATTAAGTACGGCTTCTTCTACAGCTGCAGTTCTAACTTCTCTAGTACGACCAGAATCATAACTTCTTTTTTCAAAATTACCACGTTCCCGCAAGCGTCGGTGAATAGTTGTGAACGTAGTATGATGGGGTAGTCTACGCTGTGGGTACTGTTTATCATAAAGTCTTTGCGCTTCCAATGAATTACCGTTACTTTATGTGTATCCGAAAGCTGTATCCAGATACTTTTTAAATTTTGTATCCGGTATCCGTATCCGTGACCAAATTTGTAAGTATCCGGATACCGGATACTTTTTTCGGCATTCGGATACATTATTTACTACAATCGTAAGAGCTAAAATCAATTTTTTTGTATGAGAGCTATTCGAAAGTTTTGCTTTTAAGGAATATGTGCCCTGCCCCCTGCCGTAATATTTTATTTATATTTTTAAAGCGATTTAAATAAAAGTTTGGAAGAACATTTTATAAGAAAAATAATATAAAAATAATGAATCAAAATAAACAATTATAAATACTGAAGAAAGTCTAAACTAGGTAGCGATAGCTCTAGACTTTACAATCTTAAACCTCTGCATTTTTATTATTTAAAGTAAAATTGCTTGTCGATGGATTTTTAGTTTTTTGTTGGCAATGAATTATGTGCTTCTAGACGTCTATAACAACAAAAAATCGCTATCCAAGCATTTTATGGCGTTCGGTTTTGCTACTTCCGGTGTAGGGATTTTGGCAATGTGACCGGATATTTACGATTTTCAATGAAATTCGTGATATAGCTTCAACGCGTTTTTTTCCTTCTGAATCTAAAATAATATTACAAGCAGTTTTTTTGTGTCGGCGAAAGGGTTAATAATCAAAAAAATGTAAGCTGGCGAAACAGGTAACTTTTTGAAACAGATAAAATCGGAACCAAAAGTCTAAAAAGTGGTTTAAAAAATCGAAAAAAATCGAAAAAATCGAAATAGTCGAAAATAATCGAAAAGAATCGAGAAGAATGGAAAAGAATCGAAAAGAATTGAAAATAATCAATTTTAATCGAATAGAATCGATTAATCAAAAAGAATCGATTAATTGAAAATAATCCGTTATTCGGAAATAATCAATTAATCGAAAATAATCGATAAATCGTAAAGAATCGATTATTTTTAAGTAATCTACTAGACGAAAATAACTGATTATTTATTTTGATGATCGCCAGCCTTAACGTTTTTAGCAATCTATTTTGGCAATAAAATTATTTAAGTAAGAAGTTTTATTTGAGTAATTTGATTTTTTTCATTAATTTATAGAAATCTATTGAAATCTACCAAAAGAAAATTGTCTACTAAAACTAGCCAAACTAGCTGAAAACCTACCAAAAAAGCAGATATCTACCAAATGTGGCAACGTTGAATTAAAGACGCCCAGTCAGAGTAACCTTGACGAAGCACAACAACAACTAATCGTTGGACTAAGCGAAGTTAACTGTCGTGACGTAATCTACGTGCGATGCACAAAACGATGCTAAAAATAGCGTGGTTTCAAGCAGGCACAATGCTATTTGACGGATCTATTAATCTGTCTTTTTAACATTCATTCTCAGACACCTCTCGCGTTCAATCAACATATTGAACCAACAGACGCGATCAGCCTGAGCGTAGTGGGATACCAAAAAAAGTAGAGATTAATACATACGAAAATAATAAATATATTAAAGTGCATTTACGAGTATATTATTATGTGATTTTAAAATAATGTGCTCTTATGAAATTTATCTGGGTGTTCACTGCACAAATAAACCAAGGGAGAAACCGCCCCTGGTTAGATTTATATGGACACGACACTGGATGGCTTTATGTTTTATTGTTCTTTTTGTTTTAATGTTTTATATTCACAGAATAAAAATAATAAACAACTTATTGAGTAGTTTTTTCCGTTTCTATTATATCGCTTTCCATTTTCGATAATTTATTTATGCCTAGTATTGTTTATTGTTACTCGTAATCAATCTTATTACATAATTATAACTATTGGTATGAAAACATTATTTTAACTCACTTTAAAAGTATCCGAAAAAAGTATCCGGATACTTGTATCCGAGTACTTTTTGGGCGAAAGTATCCTAAAAAGTATCCGGATACATTGTAAGTATCCGTATCCGGTACTCGGATACTTTTTTCCTGTATCCGACCCAACTCTGGCCAGTTGCTATTACATAATGAGCATTCAAGTATCTAGAGTTAGAATGAAATACGTGTAAAATACATAAGAGGCAAGTATTTCAGAATTTTCTTTCAATCTCAAGAGCGAGAATGTTTTTGTTCTGTTATTATAAGTGGTTTCGGAGGAAGAACTACATTCAGTACTGGCCGTAGAGAAAGTTAATTATGCACTTCCAATTTACATTCCACCTGGGTTCCGACTTGGCGTTTTCGCGCCTTGGTCGATCTATATTATTTATTCTCGACAAAAATTAATCACTTTCCACTTGGATATACACAATATTCTATAATGTATATTGAAGTTAATAATTAGCACTTTCAACCTTTACTAAAGCGAATCCAATTTTTGTACTCTCTTTCTCGTTTTATCTTTTATCAATTAAATGTTTTTTTTTTGTTCTATCAAAATAATTACGTATATTTATAATCATAGTCAACAAACCATAATTAAATTGAAATTTTAGAGTACAATCGTACATGAAACTTGAAAAAAATGTTTTTTTAAATTTTATCTGCGGTCGTCCTTGTTATCTTATTGTTATATCTTATCACCAATAACAATAAACTACCTACATATTCATCTATTTGTATTACAATTACCGAAATAGTTAGCAATGCTTATCATTTTGACATTTAGCCATTGGTTGAAAATATTGTAACGTTTGTTTAATTTATTTATAATTTATTTAATTAAAACACTTTATTTACAATTTATTTATTACAATTTATCTTTTCTGTCCAACAGTTAAATTGAATCTTTCCGTCCGTCGACAAACTCGCGCTATTTATATAAAGCCAGCTCTGTACCAGAATTCTCTCGGCTTTCCAGAACGATCGAAAAATGTCTCTGTATGACTCATACGCCGCAAAGAGATCTATCCGATAATTTCTCGAAGCGGTGCGTTTGTCTCTATATGGCCCGCGCTAGGCAAGGAGTAAACAAGGAACCGAGACGGCTTTAGCGTCACAATATATACAGTTTAACCTCCCTTGTTCTTTATTTTAAAAAAGTATAATGACTTTGTAAGTATTTTCTTTTGGAATGACTTCGGGCATAATGACTTTCATATCTTTGAATCAAAGATATATGTTTAAAATACATATCAATGTCACATTTGGGTGTCTTGTTAGCCGCTTATCAGTGCCTATTAATACAGAAGTCGAAACACGTTTGTTGCTGACTACTGTGGTGATAAATCTGTTCGTTACGTCAAAAGTTACCATCAAACATGGTTTATAAATAGGTACTTTAACTCTATCAATGCAAAGCGTAAATGTATTTGTTATAACTCTGTTTTTATGCTTCTTTCCTTCTTATGTTTTCGTGATGTCTGCTTATCTTCGCACGAAATTAGTCCTGCAAGGTAGAGAACCCTTTTTTCATAAAGACTAATT